ATTCAAAATAATTTTCTAATCGCAATAACAAATTACAAATAATATTATTGTACAATGTTTCCTAATGGCTGCCTTAAAACAATAATGATGATATCTACTTACTACAATGACCCTCCCATAAACAACCTAGTTGTCATGTTCTCACTGAAAAAAAATTAAACCAGTTACCAATAAGGAGGTATGACAGACGGACATATAATCAAATTAAGAAACAAAAACTTTCCAACAACACATTCACTTGCAATTATGGAGTTTTAATCAACTAAGGCACTTACAGAGCAGCAAAGAATGTAAGGTATTTAAATACCAAAAAATTGCCTATTAATATTATGTTGGGGCCCCTGCAGGTCAGGGCCCCAGGCTGATGCCCCAACAAGGCCTTGCTAAGACCTGGGCATGATAGCACAGCATTAAGCTTGAACATGTGGTCTCAAAGGACACACATTTAACTATTGTTATACTAGTTAAGAAACATTTTTAATATGCAACATTACATTTATTCTAAAATGGCTTTATATGAACTTTATCAGTAAATGAATTATAAATAAAAGCAAAATAAAGTCTCATACATAAGACTTGCATATGACGCATCTTCATTTATATTAGGCCCAGTGCTTGAAGTGGGAAAAAATAAGTGCGGGAACTCAAATTTTCTTGGGCCACTGTCGTTGCGTCGGATCAGGTTCAGTAAGTACTGGAACGCAGAAAAAAGTGGAAGAACCCAAAAGACGAAAATACAGAAGTTCCGGAACTGCGTTCCGCTGAGTTCCGGCCCACTTCAAGCACTGATTAGGCCTACTAGAAAAAGCATTAGTGAATAGAACTTGAATACAGAAAACTCAAATGTCCTCTCTCATAAATGTAAATAAGTATGAAACTAGTAAAAAGTAACTGGGTTGTACTTTTCTTCTACTCCTAGTTCAGTTCATGGCAGTGAACTTTTCAAACACATTAAAAGAAAAACCAATGATTTGTTTGTATTCATTTCATGGTGCGTCAAGTCATGGTGTTTTTCAATGTTATTGTCATTCCACAAAGTTTGATTCTTGTTTTCTTTCGCATCAAATGTGAAATGTACGGAAGAGGATTAGGGCCACCATGAAAATTTTATTTGAATTCTGACTTTTTTCTCAGAATTCTGACTTTAATCTCAGAATTCTGAGTTTAGAAAAAAAAGTCAGAATTCTTACATTAAAGTCAGAATTCTGAGAAAAAAGTCAGAATTCTGAGATTAAAGTCAGAATTCTGAGATTAAAGTCAGAATTCAAATAATATTTTCATGGTGGCCCTAATCCTCTTCCGTACATGACGGCCCCCGTCACAATATGTTTATCCTTGTAATTATTCAAATAAAATTAACTCGTTATCTCAAGATGACGCCAGTAAAAATAATTGCAAGCACGGCCGTTCTCGGCATCCGTAGTTTCCTCATAGCCTTCGTGAACGAAATAAACACTGATTTGCATTAAAAATATATGTCATAAAACATTCTCCAAAACTTCATTTT